GCCCTCCCCCTACACTATAAAGTAGACGCTGAAGCCGCGGCTGAAATCGGTCAATTGCCACAGAATTAGTATTTTCTGTACAGTGAATGGCACGTAGTGCACTATATAGGGGAAAGGGAACGATTCACACAGTGTAAATATGCTTTCCATTGAGGAAAAAAAGAAGTCTGGTTTCACGCTGTGTCACGCTAACCACCGCACCGCGCACACACTCTGCTCCGGTCCAGAGACACGATAGCACGGAGCGGATCACATGCGCGAGTCGGCGCAGACCACAAAATGTAGCTATTTGAACATTCTACACAGAATGCTATATTTTATAGCAATATGGATGAGATTGTGCTTGGCATACCCTGTCAAATGCGGCTTTACGGAGCTCAACGGCTCTGAAAAGAAGAAGAAGAAGAAGAAGAAGAAGAAGAAGAAGAAGAAGAAGAAGAAGAAGTGCCTCTCCGCTATAAAACGTTATTAGAAGAAGAAGAAGAAGAAGAAGAAGAAGAAGAAGAAGAAGAAGAAGAAGAAGAGTAACGCTGCATGTTTATAAGCATTTCAGGGGACCTTTAAAGCAGCACTATGTAACTTTTGGCGCTCTAGCGGTTAATAAACAGAACTGCACACATCCTGCGGAAGAACATTCCAACCGGAGCTACTTCTCTAAGTTTATGTCTATGGCGATTCACGCAGGTATGTGTTACTCCGCAGCGGTGACGACCCGACCGGCTACAATAGTCCAAATATAAGTACTTATTATAAGTGTACCGTAGTGATTCGGATTAAGACAAAAACGCAGTTTGGAAGATGAATTCATGATGTACTCGCTCATTATATACATTTTGCAAATTTTGAACACAAGTTACATAGTGCTGTTTTAAAAAGGAGCTTAATGTTTGAACAGCATTCCTGTCTGGATCGGTTGAGGTAGGCCGCACGCTAGGTTTCGGAGCATAGCTGATGTATTACCCTATATCTACATTTTAGAATAGTTGTGAAGTCATCAAAATTGTCCCCTAAATTTCAGATGCGTCAAAATCGCCACCATTTGTCTAGATTCCTCTAGTTGTTTTCTTTTGTCAATTTCATACAAACGGTTAAACGGTTGGAGTTATATTGAATATTGCACTTCTCTCAGACAATCAGATTCGAGGACCGAAAATAATATATCATTCTAAAATATAAAATAAACGTGACTTATTTTATTTTTTGTATACAAAAATAATTCCAAGCATTTAAAAAGCCCAAGAATCACCAACATTTCAGTTCAGTCAAGTGTGTCCAACTGCTGCCTGGTAGCGTTTACACCGCCACGGTCATTCACTCCGGCCTCTGTCTGGGTCTCAGAGGTCACGCAAGAGGAAATCCATTAACTGTAAGCATAAGACCCCACTTGTTACCTTGTGTCAGAGGTCATGACACGCCATCGTAGATAGAGCCATCCGTTCTGGTTAATCCCTGTGACCTCTCCAAAGACAGTAAGGTTCCTTAGGCGGATTACGCAGGGTCAGGGACCTTGAGAGCGGGATGATATGCCTGCTTCCAGGCTGCTTGCCCAACAGAAGCCACAGCTCCAGGCCTAGATGGAGGTCTAGGAGCTTAGCCTCTTATCTCCTCTCCACGGCCAAAGCCACAGCATCTGGGAAATGTGGAGGGGCGTATGGGGTGGGAAATTGATCCTGGGCTGATTAGTATGCAGACCCATCACCTTGCCTCCTCCCCATCTCTTCCTCTGCCTCCTCCTCGTCCTCTTCTCTTGCTCCTCTCTCATCAGTCAGTTGCAGACTGAGAGAGTGTTGTGGACAACTGCCCGGACGCCTCATACATATTAAATCCTAGCTATTATTTATATCATGTCTTTCTCTCTCTCTCTCTCTCTCTCTCTCTCTCTCTCTTCTTAACCCTCTTCTTAACACTTACCAACAACCTTTTCTTACTTCTATTTCTGCACGTCTTTAGTAAATCCTGACAGTATTATTGTAACACCAAACTACGGTTTGCGCTGGTGCAAGCTGTTAGTAAATCTGACCCTAAGTATTTTATAAGTCACTTTTTATCAATTTAATACATCCTTGCTAAACAGAAGTATTAATTTCATTCAAACTAAATTCTTACTCCCACCTAAATGGTAGTGTATGGTAGTATATGTGTCTTGCACCATGAGCACTACTGTGTCAAGTTAAACAGTTAAACTTAAGCGTCTCGAGACACATGTGTTTTATTCCATTTCACTGCGTCTAGCTAATTTCGAATGCAAGAACGTGTCCTGTGTGAACGGTCTCTGACACACGCTACTACAGGACACCACACTTACTGAGAGCAGCAGCACATAATAAGTAAAGAGCCGTTCACACAGGACATGTTCTTGTGTTCAAAAACAGCAAGACGGAGCGTAACATTGCAGGTGTCTTGAGACAGGCTTTTCAAAGTTTCACTGTTTTAACTTGACACTGCCTCTTAAAAACACAGCACCTTGGTACAAGACACAGTGTGAAATAAATATATGCTAGACATTCTATTTTATTATTATTTTATACGGGTATTTTGAGAAAATTTAAAAGTCCATGGAAGTAAAAAGGATCATATATTCATTCATACTTTAGTACTGGAAAGTAAAATTGTATCAATTTTAATTTAATTCATAAATAAATACATACTTATTTACTGATATATAACATAATATTTAAATATACTGTTTAAATCAAGAGACTTTTTTGAGAGAAATATTACATTACACATTTTTCTAGAGAGTTTTCCTGGTTGTAATAAATTTTTTTAAATGGTTATTAGAAAATGTAGGTTAAAACTGCTTTTTACATTAAAATCAATCATATTTTTAAATAAAAATGTAAATAAAAAATATTTAAAAAAATGGTAAGATGAAGTAGTTTCTTTTTTTCACACACACACACACACACACACACACACACACACACACACACACACACACACACACACACACACACATATTTAAAGAACATTTAAATAAATAATCCAGGTTAAATTAAAGAGAATTTTGGGACCAGTTATCCAGTTATATTGAAACTGGTTCCTTAAAATGAATTGTCAGAATGAATGGATTCATTGCAGTACATCAGACATAAAATGCTGTTTTAGACCCAGTAATCTCTCTTGCATGCCTTTTCACAATTACGTTTATTCTTACAAATCGAGTGTCCTCCAGTGGATCCTTTTAACTGATATTTCCCAAAAGCTCCCACATGCACCTTTGGTGTCTTCTTGAGTCCAAACATCTGATATCCCATCGGCGCTACTCCGACAAGCTAAACAACCCTCTCCAAAGCATTGTAGATCAGATTAAGTTCTCCAAGTCAGACCACCTGTCTGCTGGATTTACCTCCACCTCTCAATTAGCCGACACGGGCTTAAAACCCCAGACTCTTCACAATTCATCCCTCATCTGATCCCCAATTACACAGCCCCGCTCTTTACTCCACCGTCTATCCCTCTCCTTTCTGCTCTTCCCTCTGTTTGCATGCAATCTGCCTTGCACACACACATTAGTGTCCTTGACGGCCAGCGTAAAATCCTTTAAAATCCCTCCGTAAATGGATCTAATCCCATAATAAATGGCTTTGTCCCACAGACAGCGGTGTGAGGGAGAATCCAGCCTTTTATAAAGATACTGTAGAATGAAATCTGACCCACACAGATTATTTTTTAATAGATCTGCAGAATACCATTTTTTCACTCTTACTAGTTGAGCAAAGTAGTAAGGGAATTTACAGTATACACATATGGATACAAGTGTACTCATGTACCTATCAATCCAATTCCTTTCTTTCTTTTGTACAACACAAAAGGAGATGTTTTGCAGAATGACCAGGTTGCTCTTTTTTAATATTCAAATAAAGATCTTTTTTTGTTGTTGTTGAAAGTGCCATAAATGTCTGTATGACCATTCCTATTTTCTTTTAAAGCCATGCAAATAAAATTAAAAAACTCATTAAAAATACATCTTAAAGAAATTAATACAATTATTTCCTCTGTCGCGACTGCCAAATATCCTTCCTGCTTGCAATTTAAAAATATATATCATCATATTGTAAAGGACAGTGGTTATCAACTCAGAAAGCCTCAAAATGATAAAACATTATCTGAATGATTAAATAAAAATTCAAAATATGCATTAAAATAAGTTGATGCAAAATATTTTGTATATTTCTTTGGATATTAAGGTAGACCTCCAAAAACTCCATGGAATTTTTTTTTTAATAAATAGACTTTTTTTCCTAATTTCTCAAAGCTATAAAAATCCTCATTCTTAGTTATTTTCCAGTAAATCATAAACAACTAGGAGAGTCATATAAATGCAATGGCTGAAAAGAGTGGGAAGCTTAAAAATGAAAAAATCCTCTGTAAACTTAGATCAAAATTTACAGAAACTATGCATGTTGGGCATTCAGATATTGTAGTGAATGAGGGGCCTTGGAGCCAAAACGATTGAGAACTACTGGTTTAGAATGGTCTGTGTTTTTTGTCCCTTTGAATCTTGACCATCTTGGTCCACGTGCACTTTTGTTTGCATAAAAAAAGCTTTAAAAAAGCAGCTTGGACATGCTTTTATTTTTCACAAAAGAAGGAAAACCATACAGATTTGCAAAGATTTGTAACACTGTTATATCTATACATGGTCGGTTTGTTTTATGAAGCTCACCTGTTTTTGAGTTTCTTATTCATTTTATAAAATGCAGCAGGTAGAATATTCAGTCTAGATCATGGAACGCTAAAATTAATGTTTTATGTACAGCATTGCTTTGATCTCTTTCTCTGATGTTTGCTTCCCCCAGTGTGAGGTTTTAGTAGTGTGTGCGTTTGTACACTTACACATTACAAATGTAGGAATAGCTATAGACGAGCTTGTGTTTTTCAAGGTCTCTCATTGGCTGTTAGTCAATATGTTGTGATCTGTGTCATGTTTCTTATATGAATGTTATTCTATATTGATCTGTGTGCATGTGTATTTATGTGTGTATCCGCATGCTCAGGTTGAGTTGACTGGAAGTAGCGTATTCGATTACATTCACCCTGCGGATCATGTTGAGATGGCAGAGCGTCTTGGCATTAGGCCACACCTCCGGGCAGAGGCAGGCTGTCAAACGTCCCACGAGAGTGCTTCAAACTCCGCCTCCACATCCTCACTGGCCGGCACTCCAGAACCAGGTAACACGCCTTCAGAGGTCTAGCTTTATTCATCTCTAATTTTTCCTCAATGTCTCGTGTCTCCTTTGACATAAATAGTTCAAATAGATACACAAAAATTATACTGTAACTTTCAGAACTCAAAACCTAAGATCAAACTATGCTGCTGGAATAACTTTTTGTCATCAATAAGATACATACATTAAAACGACCACCCACATACACTATTTGGTGTTGGCACACCAATGCCTTTCAGATCTTGTGCTGATCCAGGGCAGAACACCAGCCGCTCTTCAGGAAAATGCTGTTTCTCATTTTCAAGAGGATATTTGCATAGAAGGCTTGAAACACGGCAGCAAAAAACGCTTGTTTCATCCTAAGGGTCAGAGAGGAGGGTGGAAAATGATCATGAAAATGAAAATATGACTGCTTTTGGTGAAAACAAAATTATAAGTGGGCCACAGGTAAAAAATTAAATGATACTGAAAATTACGAGATCATCTAAATTTACATAAATTCGCCAAAACACAAAATACGATTTTCCATATATGTGTTGACTGTCTAACTCAGGTGTATCCAATACCTCTTCCTGGAGGGCCACTGTCCTGCAAAGTTTAGCTCCAACACTAATTAAACACACCTGAATCAGTTAATCAAAGTCTTCAGAACTTTTTAGGCAAGTGTGTTGGAGCTAAAATCTGCCCAAAGACATTGGCCCTCCAGGAGGAGGATTGTACACCCCTGGTCTAGCTGTTAATTTTTGTTGTCATATATCCGTGGATAATGAAATATTGTTCAAAGGGTGGATATCTTTGTGATGTGTGTGTTTTCTCCTGTAGTACCATCTAGTCCCTGTTCTCCAGTCATTGAGCTATCGGAACGTGGATTCTTCATCAGGATGAAATCCACCCTCACCAAGCGTGGCCTCCACATTAAATCCTCAGGCTATAAAGTGAGTCCTTGATTGGAGACGTACTGTCTCGTGTGTTAAATTGTAGCACACATTTTAAGGCATGTGTACACAAAGACATGTTCAGTGCGAAAATTCTGTATGATAAACATTTGAATATGAAAAAATAGAAGGTAATTGTGACTTTTTATCTCAAAATTGTGACATTTTGTCTGGTAATTGCGAGCTTACATCTCTCAATTCTGACTTTTTTTCTCAGAATTGCATGATACAAACTCGCAATTTTAAGAAATTAAAAGTCAATTCTGAGTCAGTTGCAGAATTGCCTTTTTTCCTCAGAATGGCATTATACAAATTCACAATTCTGAGAAATTAAAAGTCAATTCTGAGTCAATTGCATAATTGCCTTTTCTCAGAATTGCATGATATAAACTCGCAATTCTTACTTTTCTTGCAATTGCGAGCTTACATCTCACAATTCTGACTTTTTTTCTCAGAATTACATGATATAAACTCGCAATTCTGACTTTTCTCGCAATTGCGAGTTTACATCTCGCAATTCTGACTTTCCCAGAATTGCATGATACAAACTCGCAATTCTGAGAAATTAAAAGTCAATTCTGAGTCAATTGCATAATTGCCTTTTCTCAGAATTGCATGATATAAACTCGCAATTCTTACTTTTCTTGCAATTGCGAGCTTACATCTCACAATTCTGACTTTTTTTCTCAGAATTACATGATATAAACTCGCAATTCTGACTTTTCTCGCAATTGCGAGTTTACATCTCGCAATTCTGACTTTCCCAGAATTGCATGATACAAACTCGCAATTTTAAGAAATTAAAAGTCAATTCTGAGTCAATTGCATAATTGCCTTTTCTCAGAATTGCATGATATAAACTCGCAATTCTTACTTTTCTCGCAATTGCGAGCTTACATCTCACAATTCTGACTTTTCTCAGAATTGTGAGTTTACAGTATTTAAACACACAGTTACAGTATTACAGTATTGAATCACAGTTCTGATTTAATAACTCACAATGGCATGTTATAAAGTCAAAATTCCAAAATATACACTAGCAATTCTGAGAAAATATCAGTCCTATTTTCCAAATAGCGAGATATAAATGTGTATCTATCTCGCAGTTCTGACTTCATTTCTCAAAATAGTTTCTAACTCGCGATTTTTTCTTACAATTATTGCGAGTTCCCATTCTTTGCTGACTTTTTTCTCAGAATTGCAATTCTCGCAATTGTAAGATAAAAAGTCACAATTACCTTTTTTTAAAATTCAGTGGCAGAAACAGGCTTCCTTTTTATTGCATCCTTTTAGACCAGCACAAAGAGTCACATGCCTTCAAAGTGTACCATTTAGTAGGGGGCTCATGGAACATGGTTGGGGAAACGCTGGACTAGCATATTAGCATTTACTCATTTTTTTTATAATTGAATGATTTCAAAACTGAACTGCTTATTTAATTTCTTATCAGGTGATTCATGTGACAGGTCGGATTCGGTGTCGGCCAGCCCTGGTGCCAGGCTCCTCCCACCCCTTGCATCGACCAATGGGATTGGTTGCTCTGGCTCACACACTTCCACCCTCCATGCTCAATGAGGTGCGCATGGAAAGTCACATGTTTGTCTTCAGAGTCAACATGGACCTGCAGGTCACCTACTGTGAGAACAGGTAAAGTCCCAGCATGCCTCAGTCTCAGTTACAATATATTCAGCTACCTTTGCCATAGTGTTTGCCCATTATTGGTGTAAATGATAACTCGTACCAAATATGTGTTATCGCATCAACACTACGTCTCAAGCCCGTGGAATAGAATTACACTACATAGCTGAAAGAATGATTAAAAAATTAGATAAAAATTAATATGCACTCAAACTAAAAACTCATTGTGTTACAAACAATGTCACTCTTATATGTGTACTTGTATGGATTTTGTAGGATTTCAGAGTATATGGACCTGAGCCCAGCTGAGGTGGTTGGACGTACTTGCTACCACTTCATCCATGCAGAAGACCTGGACACCATTAGGCAGAGCCATGAAGACTGTAAGCCTGTCAAGATTTGTGATCTATTTGCCACCCCATCTCTAAAAAAAACTTATTACGTGTCACACATCTCTCTCAAAGTTGTATATTATATAACAGAAATTATATATTTTATTTGTTTATTAGTATGCGTTTCATGTCATGAACTTAATCACACTATTGGATTTTATTTTGTCATCATGACCAATAGATTGTAGGGTAAGGAAATATGAAGAGCTTTAGTGAGGGTGGCTGCAAGGTGAATAATAAAAGTAATGGAAAAGAAAAAAGAACCTTTTTTAGTTCAAGATTAAAGAACAGCTGTATCTGTTTTGTCAGTTTAAGAGCCTGAAGCTGCTGTTTACATTTTACATTTTGACACCAGCGCCCCCTAGCCAAATAAACAAATTGTGAAATTCTTCTCCACATCCAGGTTATTAAATGTATCTTTTTTTTAGCCATCTCATGTGGTTTTTGCATTTTAAAATCAATTATTTAATCAGACTCCTTACCTAAATATAAATGTATATCTGTTAATTATTCTTTCTTAGTGCTGCGGAAAGGGCAGGTTGTGACGGGGTATTATCGCTGGTTGCAAAGGAGAGGAGGGTATCTGTGGATTCAGTCCTGTGCCACCGTGTCCATTAACCACAAAGCGCCCCATGAGCGTAACGTCATCTGGGTCAACTATGTGCTCAGGTCAGTTTCTTAGTGACCTTGTGTGTTTGTGTTTTTGAGTGTTGTGCTACAGTATAAAAATGTTAATGTGCTGAGAGTTTCCACAGAGGCCCTCGTAAGCGCTCTTCCTCTCCATCTGTCTACAGTAATCTTCATCACACAAGCGCACACGTTCAAAGAAGTCAAAATTGGCTGAATTTCAGTGATAATTGGACTGGTGATATATAATTACACCAAATGGATGTCAAAATTTTCTGGCTGAATGGTGTTTTAGTTAATTAGCTTTGTAATTACGATAGCTAATTAACTTCTATAGCACCCTGCTGGAGCCATGTTCATGTTCAGAAGGGCTTTTCTAGGGTGTGTGTGTGTGTGTGTGTGTGTTCGGAAGCGGTATCACAAGTGAATACCTCTCTTACGGTGCTGTTAATCTCTATGAGGAGGAAACTCTGAAGCTGTGTTCCAAAATATAGTGAACTGTGTTGCTGCCTACTGGTAAGGTACCTTCCTTTGACTGATTTGAAACAATCTACATAGTCAGTAGGTAATTTATTGGCACCAGAATAATAGCATTTCTGCTGCACAACACAAGAGAAATTCAGTTTGTATAGCTGATCCCAAGAATTTGCCATTAGCACATGCTGCTAAGCAAATGACACAATACTCCAAGTATAAAATACATTGCATACACAAATTTTGGGTGAAATAATTCACTTTAAAAATTTCAATTTTATTGCTACGTTATAGAACTTCTTTTTATTTGTCTGCCATCTTGGATTTTTTGCTTGTTGCAATGCATTCTGGGATTCCCTTCTCTGTGAATAAGTCAATTTTAATTAGATCAAACTACTATACATTTCAATACATTTCATAACTTCTCTCGATCTGTCTTTTTTCCACCAACTTTGTTGCAAAGCATTCTTAGACTATAAGACTGTAAAATGTCAATGTATTTATAGAGCACAATTAAAAACAATGACAGATGACCAATGTGCTGTTGAGTGATTTTAAAAAAGGATGCTAGACCATATATAAAATAAACAAGAAGTTAAAACATTTAAACATACTATGTAACAATTTTGAATTGAAACAATAGATTCAATGGATTTTTTTCCCATCCTGTGTGTCAAATTTCTTTCCCCGTCGCTCCATTATGAAATGGGCTTAAAGCTTAGAGCACGTGCCAGGAGGAGCTGCTGTTGCACAAAAGGGCAAGGGTGGTGGCGCTGTATTGAAAACCAGTCTAAACAAACACTTAAGAAGAGTATTCTGAGAGAGAATGAGAGGGGATGCTGAGTTCTTGTTATCATTGGTATCAGAGAACAGATTCATTCTCACGTTCTTTATATAGAATATAATTTCTGTGTTCTGAAGAGTACCGTTTTCTTCCATGTGCGCAAATGTTATGAGTTCTATGGTTTTAAGAAAAAACTATAAAATACAATTTCAAGTGTAGCTTGATGCTAATTGTACCTCTAATTATATTTTAAGATGTATACTTGTAAGCATTATAGATAGTTTGTGTTTCTGGTGTAGAATCCAACTTTATTTTAATTTACTGCTGTTGAATAATGGACAATGTTAAATCTATATATGAGATACATATCTGAGAAAAAATGCATTGTTGCTCGGTCGCCACCTAGTGTGCAGGCGTGAATTCACGTCGTGCTTAGTGTGAAATGGCCTTTAGGATTAGGTTTACTGCGGTAGTCTGTGTTACTGGTATTACCCGGAGTTTGTCCTTACACCAAATACATTATTTGCCTACCACAGTACTGCCCCCACTGTCGTTTTGCTTTTTATAGAAATGTAAACCATTTATTTTAGCTGGACAACATACGCTACAGTAAACTGAAAATGTCTGCTCTGCTCCATACAGTTCGCGCTGCAGAGCCGTAGCAGGAGTTCACTAATCGTATGAAGAAGCACTTTCAATGTGAGTGCTTTGAGTGTATAGCCTGGTTTACAGGGTTCCCACGGGTCCTTGAAATCCTTGAAAGTTTGTGAATCTGAAAAAAAATTTTCAAGGACCTGGAAAGTTTTTGAAAATAAGCATACATAGATACAGGTTGAAAGTGCTTGAATTTATTTTGTGCAAGAAGTTTTCTGGAAAAAAAATCCATATTATTCCCTCCGGTCCGCTAATGTGTTATTTCGCCAACACTTCGTGGCCTATGCATTTTGGCTTGCTTGATTTATCTTAGTTACGCGCATTTACGGGTTACGTGAAGTGTTTCCCACATGAGGTACTTTGTGTTGTACGTTGCCATGATGTTCACGCTCTCACAACAATACTACGATGTACCACAACGTTTCACAGACACACCGTAAAATTAATGTTGAATTGCTTTGCTTGTTAAGATAATGTAAACCCATGAGGCAAGAAAAACTTAAACGCATATTCATATATCTTAAAACGTCTGGTTACATGAGCCTTGCAAAAAATCCATGCAAAAGTTAATATCAGATCATTGTAGAATACAGTATAGGATGTACCGAATATTCTTCAGTTTTATGCAAAACAGAAATACGACAAATATAATATCAGATCTCTGTCATATGGCCAAAAAAATGCTTTTTTATATAGTTGTGTTTGACACTTGAAAACTGTAACAATGTATCTTACTAGGTAACACGATGTAACCTTGCTCTCACTTGAAATGTGTCCCCACATTAAGTCCTTGAATTTGAGGGTATTGGACCTGGAAAGTAATTGAAAGGTCCTTGAATTTGAAGTTAACCAAGGTGTGGGAACCCTGGGTTTATACTCACCACGTCGGCATGTATGCATAGCAAAAATTACATGGATACTGAGGAAATGATGGCGGACAGAGGTTTGGTTTTCAAGCGACTTGTAAAAGACCGTTTCTTAAACCTTATCAGAGAAGGTGAATATGTTGGTTGTCTTTGCAAAAAACATGCAAGCACTCTCACCGACAACCTATTTACTTATTTATTTGTTTATTTTAATATGATTTCAGTGTTTGCTAAACTTTCTGTAATCTATTAGTCAATATATAATACAGCATGTGGTGTATGCCATGCCTCAGCATGTTTTATTGCTGTTGTGCAGTTGTGGCCTAACCGTTAGAGAGTCAGATTTGTAACCCGAATGTCGTGAGTTTGTGCCTCAGTACTGGCAGGAAATTTAGGTTGAGGGAGTAAATGACCAGCGCTCTTCCACCCTCATTACTCACAACTGAGGTGCCCTTGAGCAAGGCACCGAACCCCCAATTGCTCCCCAAGCGCCACAGCAAAAATGGGAACCCACTGCTCCGGTTGTGTGTTCATGGTGTGTGTGTTCACTACTATGTGTGTGCATTTGGATGGGATAAATGCAGAGCACAAATTCCGAGTATGGGACAACCTACTTGGCTAAATGTCATGTCATGAAGAATAATAATTAATCCATCTTTAAAGCATTTGTTTTAAACTTAAGCGCAACAGACAATTACCTTTTCTTGTAAAACGTTAACACCAAGATTGCGAATTCGAAAGCAAAAATTAAAGCGTCCAAAGTGATGCCTTAAATTGCTGTCTAGGTAGGCAGCTTACTTATGTTTCAGAACAGGTACTATATAAGATTCCAGTACTATTCAAGTTAGTATTTGTACAACTTGTTGTGTAATTCAACCATACTAAATGATTGGAGAACACTCTTGTTAACCTGTGGCATAGAGTTTAGCATTTAGACTGTTAAATGTGTAAAGCTCCCTAAGGTAAACTGCTCACACTCTTTTATCTGTATTTTCAGTCGACCAGAGCTGGCAGACATGCCTCTGGACTTATTACAACTCCCAGAAAGCCTGAGGGCAGAGAGGCTTCAAGCAAGCTCCTCCCCACGCAAAACCTCTCCAAAGGCACAAGGTATGCTTTTAGCCCCTCACACAATTATCCATACACACACTGGTAGTACGTTACTCAACAGCCCAAATCAGCAGAGTTATCTTTACTTCAGGCTCCACAGGGACACAGCCATTGAAAGGCAGGACCGAGACAGACCACAAAGGGAAGGAAGCCTTCTCACACACTGCTGGCAGCCAATCAGAGAACACCAGAAAGAGATCGCACCAGTCTGATGCTGAAAGTGGTCCTCCTGAGGTGAGGAGGCGGATGGAGGTGTTCCGGCAGAGAGAGGACAGCCCATATACCTCCTCAGATCAAGCCAGTGACAGCGAGGTGGAAGAGGACGATGAGAGGGAGAGTGAGTGGGACCACAACCCCACCAGCAAACGGGTGAAGAGCGAAGAGGGGCAGTTGAAACAAGGCAACGGGGCCAATGGAGCAAGTAAGATCCACAACGGTCGTGCAGTGATCCAGCATCTTAAGAGTGTGGTGACCAGTTCCGGGTCTAATATTAAGACTGAACAAGAAGTAATGGGAACAAGTGTAGGTGTGGGTTCTGGGAGGCGTTGGAGCCAAGCTCAGCCCAGCAGTGGAGGAACCAATGGCAGCAGTCCACCTTCCCAACCTCAAAACTCCACCCCGACAGAAGATCCATCCAAGGGTCTGTTCAACCCATCCTCCCCGACCCTGTCTCCGCCCATTCTGGCCTCATCCCTACCCAGAGATGATCGGTCCATCCACGGAGGGCGTGCTCCAGACTTCGAACTGCTGCAGAGACTGACTGCTAGTGGGGCTGCAGGACATGTCCTATTTCATCCCCTGGCTCTCGGCCCACAGGGGCCTCAGAGTCTCTATGCTCCCAGCACTATTCGCTACGCCCCACCTGAGATGCCTACAGCTCACACTGAAGGGCACCGCTCAGACCATGCGGCCAAAACTCCCGCTTTCTTTCCCCACTTGCAAAGGATCGCCTCTCTGCCTCCCTTCAGTGGTTTTTCTCCAGCTGAACACACTTTTCCTCCAACTCTGCCCTTCTGTATGAACGGACTGAGGGGAGCAGCAGGGACAGATGAGGATTGAAGGACAAAGACAGATAAAAATATAAAGGGGAGGTGGAAGAGGTCATAAAGGACAGGGTACAACGTTGAGAGAGGAACTGCAGAAGAACTTGGGGTTTTTCAAACAGTCTTCCGAGCATCCTCTCCAGACTTTTCTCTGTTAATTTGTTAGTGTGTCTTCCTCTCTCTGGACAAGCAGTCAAAGCCATAATGAACATATGAAGGACATCATGCAACTTACACAAAGGGGCCATCATTGAGGCCTAAATCACTGGAAATACAGGTCTGTCATGTGGAAGGAGAGCCGAGGACATTGTCCTGGGGTTTCATACAAAGGTCCTCTTTGACCCCTAGGGAGATGGGCCCACCTATAAATTTTTTCCAAGTCCCCATACATTTAAGAAAACACACAGGAATATGCAAGTATGGACAAAAGAAGAATGGTGGCAACTGCCAAATAAGACATTCCTAAGGAAACAATACATAAGAAAGCACAGTCCACAAGTCCCTGACTGACAGAGGGGTCGTAATGAAAATAAAGATTAGAACTTTTGAACAGTGTAGAATTTTCATTTTTGTATTAAAAATGCATCTAAAACGAATCACTTGAAAAATGATTAATTCAAGGTCATAGCCATATATAGATAACGCTGAGTTAAGAGACTCCATACATGCAAATGCTCCAAATGTTTTTTTTGTTTTTTTTTCACAAGACATGAGCAAATATCATGGACTAATCTTCCTATACGAAATTTTGGGGTTTTGGGGGGTGGTGGTGGTTAAGTGTGTCTATTTGTCAAGTATCATGTCCAAGCACTTACAGTATATTGTTGCATACATGTAGCACTTCATCCATGGCCAGACATTCTAGTTCTCCTACTGTAAAAACCACAAGAATTAAGTTTACAATAGTTGTGCCAGAAATGTGCCGATGATTCCAGAAACTAACATGTGGAGAATGTTGTCTGTTATATAAAGGTGTAATGTTTTATTTTAAAATAAATTGTCCACTGGATATCACAAATGTTGTCATAAACATGTCCAGGTCATATTTCACTCAAAAATCCAAAGAAATTAATTGTATTTTGCTTATTTATATTCCTTTTTTATGACATTATTGAAATGTGAATTAAGTACATTCACTGCAAATTCTCATTACTGTAATGCAAAAAGTACTTACATTGTGAAAATCACCAAAAAGAAACCTAAAATAATTACAAAAAACAAAGACTTGTAAAACAAGTAGACATTACTCCTTGAGAATTTAGGCGAGAATGTGCGTAAATTTCATTAAAATACTACCAAACTGCAAAAAAATCTTAATGGTCCTAAAAATAGGCATTTGATTTTGAAGTAAAATATTACCTGTGACACTGAGATTCACCCCACTATGTAAAGCTAAGGCACACTGTTCCAAAACCTAGTGAGCTGTGTAGCATTGTAAGGCATTTTCCATGCTCCTCATGTAAGACAGAGAGTAAAATAGTAAATATTAAAATTAGATACCGCGTTTTTGCCAGATTCTAAGGTCTCATTTGAATGTAGATCCCAGAATGCATTGCAGCAGTGTTTGTGTGTACAATATATTCTTTGTGCTCAAAGTATTTTTAGCTTAGAAACATGCTAATGTAAAATTATTGGAATCAAAGAGTTTTCTTTTGTGTCTGTAGACATAAAATGGGAGGCAGCTCACTAGTTTTTGGAGTCAGGGTGTAGAACAATAAGGTCTATCTTCTTTAAAGATGTAAAAAATACTAATAATAATTATACAACGTTATGGGTACCTTTCATGAGGATGAATAGATGACAGAAAATTCAATCCCTTTCAGGGTTTCAACTGATGAAACCACATTGAAGATAACAATGTGGTTTAAGCAGTAGCTAATTACAAAAGGACAGATACAAGATTCACCATGTGAACATTTTCTAGGTTTTTTTTTGTTGTTTTTTTGTGTATGCAGGTTTCTCTGCCCATGCAGTATTACCAGATATGATGGTTTTCAGTAGCACTAAACGATATGAGATGGTTTTTATTTGTATTTGTGATTGAGGGTGAATGTGTAAATAGTTGAGAGAATCAGTCCTGAAACATCAGCACGAGTTGGTGTTCCCATAACCTTTACCATCACTGTGATTCTAGCTTCTTTATGATCAGATGTTTGTGAAAATACAGCACCATGAGCATTAAATGAAAATGATACACTGTAAAAACAATTATTATGATAATCCAAACAACAATAATAAACTATTCCAATAATGGAGCATTTCTTTGTGCTGTCATTTTTGTCCTTTGCATATTCGAACTTGACCAGTCAAGATGCATCAGTGGTTCATGAATAAAGATATTAAAAGGGGTTTGGAATGATATGAGGGTGAATAAATAATGACAATTGAAAACATTTTTATAATTTACTCACCCTCATTTTCCAAACCCATGACTTTTTGGTTATGCAAAATCAGTACAAATTATACTGGTTGCTCAGTGAGCGATATACCAGCAGACACAGTTAACCAGTAGAAATTTTTGACTATAGTCTCTATCATCGTATCTACACGCTCACATGACATTGCTGTGCTACGGGGTCACGAAAACCTATAGTTTGCCTGCGTTTTTAAGCACTGCACTTTAAAAGCAAGTGATTTTAAGCCGTTGAAATGTTATCGAAAGACAACACATTTCACTATATGTGCACACTGGCTAAGTGCTGTCAGAGAGGCGTGCGCACATGAAGACGTTGCACATAGCACGGGAGTATTGAACAGAGCTATTTGTGCCGCTTTATAGGCCTTGAACGGTTAAATACACACTTGTATGTGTCAAAATGCCCGTCTTTGCAATTATCCTCATAAACAGTCATTTAGGTCTTAAGTGAAAACAAACAGCAGAGAAAGCAAACACATGTAACAGTATATTGGATCGGGGCAGCTCTTAAAGTAACAGCAGTCTAATGTTCCTGCTGTCTGTCATTCATGTTGATCAAACAACAAAAGAGAGAAAATCTCTCACTGCTCTTGACTAAATCACTTTTATAACTTTCATAAGAAGAAATATATATTTTGTTTACACCGTGAAGCATCTGCAGTGTTTTTATAAATGTGATTACTTTATAATAATGTATGAAGCATTTCTTATTTATTTGTTCTACTGAAATACAATTACTCATGTAAGGTTTTGGTCATATCGCCCACCCCCAATTTCTATAGTTTACAAAATATGGATAAATGTCCATATTCTGGTCACCATTTTTACAGTGAAGGAGGACTAAAGCCTTCAAGCTTCAAAAAGCACCATAAAGTGTAAAAAAGAGGTCAATTTGTCTTGTGTGACTGGATCACTGAGGCAGTTAAATTAGAGAACCAGATGAATCTTTGAAAGAATCATTTAGACCAGGGGTGACGAACTCCAGTCCTGGAGAGCCACAGCCCTGCAGAGTTCAGCTCTAACCCTAATTAAAACTCACCTGCCTGTAGCTTCCTAGTAACCGTTCAGACCTTGATTAGCTTGTTCAGGTGTGTTTGATTAGGGTTGAAGCAAAACTCTGCAGGGCTGTGGCTCTCCAGGACCGACGTTCGCCATCCCTGATTTAGACCAATGTTGCGAACCAGATCAAGCCTGGTTCGTTAAAAAGACATAACTCAAAAGAAACATTCATTCATGAATCGCACGTACATCACTACTTCTGTGCCAGAGCGGTGGATTTTAAGTGTTTTAGAGAATGACGACAACTTAAAATTAATTCTGATTCTCACACCAATTGTACTATAATATACTATTAATGGCCTTTTTACCTCCATTTTGAAGCCTTGAAAGCTTCTGTCCTCATTCACTGTAAAAGCATGAAAAGGTTCAACCAGCACATCGTTTAAAATGTCTGGTTTGGTGTTTTTAAAAAAAGTAAGTATAGGTTTGCAGTGACATGTGGGTAAATGATGCCAGAATAAATTTTTGACAGAGTGATCCTTTTAAGAACAGCCTAAAAAATACAATGGCAAAAAAAAGACACCAGTTGCATGTTTGGAAACTTTAAAACATTTGAAGTCGCTGTCTTGAATGGCATGAAGGGGATTGCTTTTGGATTTGAAAAGTGAACATTCAAAAGGGATTAACAATCGACTATTATCTTGTGTAAATTTTGTAATCCACACCGTTCCATGTTAACAAGTTCAAAAGAAGAGGAAAAGAAAGGAAAGATGAAAGAACATGGATCGGATTGATGTGATAAGCTGCTTTAACAACAGCTCCCTCTGGGAGCACATGTAAGCTACCCAACTCTGTCAACTCTTCCGCTCCGCTCACAATAAAGCCTTTTGATTGGCGTTCATCATAATCCGTGTACAGATTCATAACTCTGGCTCTGTGTCTTTGAAGCGGAGTCGGTGAGCTGTCAGAGTAATAGGCCGGAGGGTCGAGACAAAGGCAGACGTTGTGATTGAAACGCGGAGCGTGCTGGTGTTAGCGATGGTGTTGTTGTTTCAAGAAACCCCAGGGAGGGGCTCTGACATTGAAGACGGGTTAAAACCTGTTTTACATTCAAGTGGCAGGCCTCAGTTCATTAGTGTGAGGATCATTCCCTCTTGACGACTAAAGGAATTGCATACTAAAGAAGCCGAGTTGTTGGGGAGAAAAGGCGAATGGCCGGACCGTGTGCGTGCGCATACGATAACTCGACTGTGACCCGAAGTTTCTCCTCTAAAATATCCTCCACGGCCATCTCTTAAGAGCAGGCTGACATGTAAACAGGAATTAGTTCCTTTTATGGGTCATTTTGCCAATAAATAGGGAAACCATTGTGTTTTTCAATGATCTTGTGCTGCACATTCACATATTGCGACAATAACAAATTAAGCTTGGTTTAACATACTGGTTCCGTGTGATGGAAATGCCTCTCTCTGCGATTATGAACTCAGTTCATGTAACGCAGGTGTGTGAAGTCTGGCTTGTGGGGATGTGTGTTTGGGCGCTATGCCCTTTAGTCGTGTGGCGGCCCCTGTAGACGCCCTGAATTTGAAGCAGAGCTGCGTGCACTGAGGGAGAGACAGACAGACCGCGGGCCTACTGCACTGAGACACGCCCGGAATCAGTAACTAACGAACTGCACCAAAACACCACAGAACGAGGAGGAGTTGGAGAATAGGCAAGAAAAGGATAGCGAATGTCTGACGTGTTTTCACTTCACACTTTTCAGTGTTGAGGAGTAAATAACTACAAGCAGCAATCACTACAAGCACCTGTAGCATACAGGTTTACATTTATCAGTAGTATTACAGTAGCTCAGCAGTTTTCTAAAGAGAGCTTTTTAAGTAAAGGTGCAAACATTTATTGTTGCATGTCAAAGTTTTGTAGGTGAAGTCTAGTCATTTCATCTGGAATTAGGCACAAGGGTGCGCTTTTCATTTTCAAGTTTTTCGTAAAAATTCTGCATGCTTTCCGAAAGAAGGATGCTATGTTTGAAAGTGACTTTTGAGTGCAATGACAATTTACAATGGATTTTTGTGAAATGTCGCTAACAGGGGCTTTCGCACCAAAGGAACCTTTTCATAGTTCCTAGAACTATTGGCGGAAGTACCTGCTTTTTGGCGTGTTCGCACCACAGGATCTAGGAACGGTTTTAGTTCTAGGAACTACATTTGGGGGAACTAAATTAGCTCCTAATACAGAGTAGGCTCTGAAACAGTTCTATAGGAACTACCAGTGACGTAAGTGTATGCTGACTGGCCAAACGCATACGAGACACTGGCTACACGTAAAAATATTTTCTCCACGAACATGAAAAACAGTGATAACGGCATTTACCTGTTGTCTGCAGCGTTATGTTCTTTTCTCAGCTTCAGATTTTGGTCCGATTTTAGTGATTTTCAAATGTATTGGGCAATAATGTAATCATTATCTGTATCAGTCGATAAAATTCAGAACCATGCCATTTTTTTTTAATACTGATAATCAGTTAACAATGATGTTTAGTTCTGTTAATAGGTCTTACACATGCCTTTGCGTACTAAAATTATTTCACAGTG